ACACTTTTCAAGATGGCTAGGATCAAAAAGATATGACTTTTTATTCAACAGAGATTCAGTCCATGATACATGTGAAAAAAGAAAATATATTAAACTAACACGTTTGTCTTAATTTTCAATAAATCTTCTAGGTTTATAAATGTATGAATTATAGTTACTGCTTTCTATATATAAAATATAGTTCTAGAATTTAAAAAATACTGAAATTTTGGTTAAGTATTGAAGAATAAGACATTCTGATTTATTACAAATTTAGCATTAATTTTTTTAGTACTTTGCATTTTTTATTAAATAAAACATTCTAAAAAACTTTCTATTCAGGACATACAAATATGCCTCATTCTTTCTTTTTTTTCAATTTTTTATTTAAATTCTAGTTAGTTAACATACAGTGCAATATTAGTTTCAGGAGTAGAATTTAGTGATTCATCACTTAAATAAAATACCCAGCGTTCATCATAACAAGTTCCCTTAATACCCATCATCCATTGAGCTCATCCGCCACCTACTTCCCTTCCTCAACCCAGAGTTTGTTCCCTATCTTTCAGTCTTTCATGGTTTGATAAACTCTGTTTTTAACCCTCTCCCATATATTCATCTGCTTTGTTTCTTAAATTCCATATATGAATGAAATAACATGGTATTTTTCTTTATCTGATTTATTTCATTTGGCATAATACATTCTAGCTCCATCCACATCATTGCAAATGGCAAAATTTCATTATTTTTGATGGCTGAATAGTTAATTCTGTTCCATTGTAAACTCTTGAAAATTTCTAGTTTTGGCCACATTCTCACTTTGTACGTATACTCTAATAAACACAAATTAATAATTCTTTGATAATGAATCTTATCAAGGTGCCTTCAGGATTGTCATTCAGAGCATAAGTACTCATAGCTCAGGATAAAATTTTTGTGATTGAAAAAGAATCACTACTGGCTCCAAAACCTGCTATGAAAATGCCTGTTCATACCACATTCTCAATGTCAAATTGCTTTCTTGCAATTGTCCTGTATCTAAAAAAAATATGAATCAAGTACTAGGTAATGAAGTTTTTACTTTATAATATTTTTTTTCAGTCATCACAGACTTCACTCAAGAAAGCAGCTAATTTAGTTTCATTGTGAAGCCTCAGCAATTTGTACTGCTGATACGTTTAATTGGAAACATAGAATCAAGTGCCTGTTCAGACAAACCTGAAAAATAAATTCCCAAGTCTCCTCTTCTTCCACTCAAGCTGACACATTGCTATTAACTGTAAATAACAACATATGATGGAATGCACTTAGAATGCCAGTTGTTCAGGATTCTTTCCTCATGCAAAACATTTCTCAAATTCTGAAAGACTCAGATGTTCTTTAACCAATTGCCCTAGGAATCTGGGTGGGGATTTTTAATGGATTTAATATATGAATCATATTTACAATAGGCTATACACTTGCCTTTAATATATAATAATAATGACAGAGAAATGTTCTATATCTAATTTTTGTTTTACAGATGCTTCTCAACTTAAATTTTAAAAGGATTAAACAAATGGTTCCCCACCCCCATAAACTTCTGCTTAGCAGAGGGAACTCTTCTAAAATTCACTCATTTTAAACCAGTTCTAAATTTCTGATTTTTTACCCACTCAAAAGTTTATTATAGTTTAGAATCTCTATACTTCAATGACCACAAAATAACCAATAGGTCTAGAAAGGAGTTTATTTTGAAAATAATTGCTTTTAACAATCCAGTTATATCTATAATCTTAGAGAATATATACACAAATGAATTAGAATATGGAAAACATTTGGATGGTTAGATCAAAATAAAATATTGATTTGACTCAGTGATAATATTGTGGGAATTATTCTTTTGGATTTGTGTTATTTTAATATAATATTTGCAGTAAAGTAATATTTTTAAGTAAGAAAAATAAAAACAGTCCAAGATTCTAGCCCATTGTTGACTAAAGTAAAGTTGTAAGGAAAGATGTTTAATATTTTTTCAAAATATGATAAGGTAAGCAGGTGTTCACAAGTGTTTCTACATATTGATTACTGTGGTTATATTATGATACTAATTTTTATTGGTCTATCTCTATTCTATTTTTTGTTTGCATTTGCTTTTTTTCATATAGTCCGCATGTCCTACCTAAGCACGATTCTTATAAAATAAGCACAAGAGTTCAATAAAGAAAATTACTAAATATTTAAGTAACTAATGAGAGTAAATTGTTATCTTTAGTCAAATACACGGTCTAATAGAAAAAGTAAGATGTAAAAAATGAAGCACCACATGAATTTAGCCTGTTCTTATATATCTTTTTAAAACAACATCCATTGGGGTCATGTCCTTCATTTGCATTCTTTGTTATTGCCAGGATCTTTTCCAGCATATTAGTACTGATATAAATTTTGTTTGGATTTTCTTTTAGAGGGGAGGGTTTGTGGAAGAGACTGGATAAGGACCTGAATGTTATAAACATTGATGATTTTCCAAAGTGAGGGAAACACTCTTCTCCAAAACAGTTTCTCACAAACTTTAAGGAGAGATACAGTGGGAAACCTGAGTTGAGTCTAAACTTAAAACATCGTTTCTTGCCATGGTTTAAAGTTGAAAACTTATGTTGAAATTCATAATTAAAGACATTCCGTGCTCATGGATTGGAAGAACAAATATTGTTAAAATGTTTATACTATCCAAAACAATATATACATTTAAGGAAATCCCTATCAAAAAATACCATCGGCATTTTTCACAGTGCTAGAATAAGTAATGCCCAAATTTGTATAGAACCACAAAAGATCCCAAATAACCAAAGCAAACTTGAAAAAGAAAAGAAAGTCTGATGGCAGCACAATTCTGGACTTTAAATTATATTACAAAGCTGTAGTGGTCAAACAGTATAGTACTGGCACTAAAACAGACACATAGATCAATGGAACAGAATAGAAAGCCCAGAAATGAACCGAAAACTATATGGTCAATAAATCTTCAACAAAGCAGGAAAGAATATCCAAAAGAAAAAAGACAATCTCTTCAACAAATGACAGTGGGCAAACTGGACAGCAACATGCAAAAGAATGAAATTGGACCATTTTCTTACACCATAGACAAAAATAAATTCAAAATGGATGTAGGCCTAAATGTGAGCCTTAAAATCATAAAAATCCTAAAGGAGAACATGGATGGTAATGTCTTTGATATCATCCGTAGCAAATTCTTAGATATGTCTCCTGAGACAAAAGAAATAAAGCAAAAATAAGCTATTGGGACTTCATCAAGATAAAAAGATTCTGTACAGTGAAGGAAACAATCAACAAAATTAAAAGGCAATCTTCGGAATAAGAGAAGATATTTGCAATGACATATCTGATAAAAGGTTCGTATTTAAAATATATGAAGAATTTATACCACTCAACAACCCAAAAACAAAAACCCAAATTTAAAAATGGCAGAAGACATGAATAGATATTTTTCCAAAGGAGACATAAAGATGGCCAACAGACACATGAGAAAATGCTCACATCCTTGATCATCCGGGAAATACAAGTCAAAACTAAAATGAGATATCAACTCACACTTGTCAGAATGGCTAAAAACAACAATACAGGAAACAACAGGTATTGGTGAAAATGTGGAGAATGGGGAATCCTCTTGCACTGTTGGTGGAAATACACACTGGTGCAGAAACTCTGGAAAATCGTATGCAGGATCCCCAAAAATTTAAATATAGAACTACCTTATGATCCAGAAATTGTACTCCTAGGTATCTACCCAAAGAACACAAAAATAGTGGTTCAAATGGATATATGCACCCTGAAGTTTATAGCAGCATTATCTACAATAGCCAAATTATGGAAACAGCTCAAGTGTCCATCAACTGATGAATGGATAAAGAATAGGTGGTATGTATATATATGAATATTATATATATTGTATGCACCATTGTATATATACAATGGACTATAACTCAGTCTTAAGAAAGAATGAAATCTTGCCATTTGCAAAGACATGGATGGTGTAAGAGAATTTTATGCTAAAGGAAATAAAGTCAGAAAAAGACAAATATTATATGAAACTGATGATTACTGAAGGGGAGGTGAATAGGGGATGGGTTAAATTGGTAATGGGGATTAGAGTGCACTTGTGATGAGCACCAGGTGTTGTATGGACGTGTTGAATCACTATATTGTCCACCTGATACTAATATTACACTGTATGTTAACCAACTGGAATTTAAATACAAACTTATAAAATAAAATAATCAGTAATTAATGCATAAAGTGCCTATATCTTTACATGTATATTTCATCTGTGAACACTAATCGTACATTTTGTATTGATTCTGCAGGTTTTATCTCCTTCAGTAAGATTTTGTAATTTGTGATTATGGAGATGGCACATTTTCAACGTTTTGTGGCACAAGGTATCATAAAAAAGCCATTTTATGGTTCTCCAGTCATTAAATCTTAGTATTAGTGGAGCAATGAAAAGAATTCTGCCTACTACCTGGGGATAATGTGATTATTATGTTAGAGTTTAATTGAGTAAGGATAAACGCCAAACACAACATGGCCCTATGTTTTATTTGACCCTGTGATCATTCAGCACTGTAATGGGAATCCAGTACAGCTGCCAACTCTGACTTTCCAATTAACTCAGGAAAGTAACCAATCTTACATCTTATTTCCTAAGCAGAAATTGTATTGGGAATTGTTTTTCTATTAAGATAAATAGTATGAGAGTTCTTTCTGCCTAGGTGATCACCTCCTGCTTTGATTTTGGGGTCAGCAGCCTAAAATTAATATTTTAAGATAACAAATAAACACATAATATTTTAAAATAAAAATATGTGGGTTTTTTGTTTGTTTGTTTGTTTTAATCTTGGCACAGAGGAAGCGGGAAGTTACTTAGCAGGGTTCCGGGTTTCCTCACGCCCCGCCCGCCCTACCACAGCTAAATGGTTTTCGTCCTTGGGTCGGTCTGTCCTGTGGAGAGCAATCCACGTCCACGGTCCCTGGTCTGCCCGCCCGCTGCGCATCTGCCCTTCTCCTCTGACTCCGCCCCGCATCTGTCTGGAACCGCCTCCCGCCTGAGCCGACCCAGTGCGAGTCTGCCAGTCAGTCCCTCCGGACCTGCCGCGAGTCTCAGACTGCCGAAATTACCGCGCGTCACTCGGTCCGTACCCGGTGGGCATCTGGGGTATCTGGGCGGTCTCCTGTCTCCAGCGCGTGTGTTTGTCTGTCTGTCTTTCTGTGCGATCCGATCCACCTTCTGCAGCCTGCCTTCCGGCCCCAGCGCACCAAGTGTTTAGTCTGCCCTTTTGCTGACGCTGAGTGTGTTTAGCGGCCTTCTATCTGAGAGCCAGCTTGAGACCGGCCAAGCAGCCGGCGGAGGAATACACGTTTGGCCCTGGCACTGTTAATAGAATTTTACGCCAGCAGGAGCTCGAGGCCTATGTTTATGCAGAAAACAGGTCTCAAGGCCTCTGTCTGTAATGCTGGATGTGGGGTGACAGCCAGCTGCTTGATGATTTCTTACAATTATATGGGGAACAGGAAATTTCTTACTACTGGCTTTTGAAACCGATTTTAAATCTTAATGGGCGGAAATTATAAGTCCTCTTAGGTAGAACAGATTCGTTATTGGGATGCTTATTTGTCTGATGTGTTTGTTCTGAGCCTGCTGACCAGATGTTTCTGAACTTCATTTTCTCAGCCTCAACAGTGATTCTGAGTCTGCTTTTAGCTTTCTTCTCCTTGGCTTTCTTCTGTTTGTGAACAGCTGCTTGGCCCATAGCTTAGAGAAATCAGCTTTTTTTTCTCTCAAGAGAGCCACCTCCCTGTACTCAGAAAGATGGGGAGTGGAGAGCCTAATTCTGCTAGCAAGAAAAAGAAGTACCTAAAGGCTGCCCTGTACGTGGGTGACTTGGACCCAGATGTCACGGAGGATATGCTATATAAAAAGTTCAGGCCTGCTGGCCCTCTGCGCTTCACCCGAATATGCCGTGACCCCGTGACCCGCAGCCCCCTGGGCTATGGCTATGTTAACTTCCGCTTTCCTGCAGATGCGGAGTGGGCCCTGAATACCATGAATTTTGATTTGATTAATGGCAAACCTTTCCGCCTCATGTGGTCTCAGCCAGATGACCGCTTAAGAAAGTCTGGAGTTGGAAATATATTCATCAAAAACCTGGATAAATCCATAGACAATAGGGCCCTTTTTTATTTATTTTCTGCCTTTGGGAACATTCTCTCCTGCAAAGTCGTATGTGATGACAATGGTTCTAAGGGTTATGCCTATGTGCACTTTGACAGCCTGGCCGCTGCCAATAGAGCCATCTGGCACATGAATGGAGTGCGGCTTAACAACCGCCAGGTGTATGTTGGCAGATTCAAATTCCCAGAAGAGCGGGCAGCTGAAGTCAGAACCAGGGATAGAGCGACTTTCACCAATGTTTTTGTTAAAAACTTTGGAGATGATATGGATGACGAACAACTGAAGGAAATCTTTAGTGGCTATGGGCCAACTGAGAGTGTTAAGGTAATAAGAGATGCCAGTGGGAAATCTAAGGGCTTTGGATTTGTGAGGTATGAGACACACGAGGCTGCCCAAAAGGCTGTATTAGACCTGCATGGAAAGTCCATCAATGGGAAAGTTCTATATGTAGGGCGGGCACAGAAGAAAATTGAACGATTGGCTGAGTTAAGACGAAGATTTGAACGACTGAGATTAAAAGAAAAAAGTCGGCCTCCGGGGGTGCCTATCTATATTAAGAACCTGGATGAGACCATCGATGATGAAAAACTGAAGGAGGAATTTTCTTCCTTTGGATCAATTAGCCGGGCCAAAGTGATGGTGGAAGTAGGGCAAGGCAAAGGGTTTGGTGTTGTCTGCTTCTCCTCTTTTGAAGATGCTACCAAAGCAGTGGATGAGATGAATGGTCGCAAAGTGGGCTCCAAGCCCCTGCATGTTACCCTGGGCCAGGCCAGGCGCAGGTGGTGAGAATAAGAATGCTCAATTTGTTTCAGCCTTAAGCTGATGCCTACTTAGTTTGGGCTACTTTGTGATAAGAGGTTATTTTATTCCAGGTTTTTTTTTTTAAGTGAATACTTTGTTTTGGGGAAAAAAAAAGTGAAACTAGAAAACCTTGTTCATTTTAGTGAAGAACATAATTTCTAATTGTAAAATTGTCATTTTTGTACTATCTTTTGATAAAATATCCTTAGGAATATATAGAATAAAATTCATCTCTCCACATAATTTTTTTTTTCCTAATTCAGTCCAGGTAAGGTTATTGGTTGAATATAGTTCCTTCCTTATTCCAGTTATAATACTAAATATAATTGCTTCTATGAAAATATTCTCTAAATAAACAATATTTCTGAATCTATCACACAGAAAACTTCTAACTTGCTTTTTGGAAAATCAATAGAGCAGGGGAAAATGTATGTGATTCACTTAACATTTGTGCATAATTTTACCTTATTATTTAAAATGAATATTATTTTAAAGAGATGTGAGTTTCGTTATACATTTTTTTCCCTTTTCTACAATATTGTGGGCATACCACAGAGTTGACAGTGGCTTTGACTAAGTGTTGGGAGTTTTCTTTAACTTCATGCCTAGAGAAATAAACATATTGGTGTTTTCTCAATTAACATTTTAAGCATAATTAAAATGAGTTTCATCTTAAAGATCTTTCCTGAGAGATTTAATATATGAAGATAGTCTAAGGAGCATTCTTGCCACTCATTTTTTAAACTCCTTAGTAGTATAGATGGGTCATGTTAAAATAAAGAAAAAGATGAATAACTGCATTGAATTGCCTTTACCTATAGATAATTTTAAAATTTTACCTCCATCTCTATAAAGTGTCAGTATAAGGGTAAATAATCCGTATAGTGATGTTGAAAAACTACATTGAAGAATATCTTCTATTAAACTTGTCATTATCTCTTGTAATTTTTTGAATACATCCATGTGATAATATTCACATATCTATCGAAAGTAAGGAAAAGCTTGTCTCTTGTGATTAAATCATATGCCTCCATCTATTATATGAGAGCTATTAATCCAGTATGGTTCTCTTTATGTCTGGCTGCTTGGAATTTGTGACAAAATGTTCTGTTCTATATTGCAGTTACATTAGTTAGCCTGTAATTTCTCGATTACAGATTTTCCATATTTTACTTATAGTCCCCTCTTTTCCTTACCCATCTACCTTCCATACATATTATACTTTGATTTTTTTTTTTTACATTGCCTTTCATTTAATATGTGGGTGTTCAAATACATTTTGGAAATAGAGAAATTATTACTTAATTTATGTAAAATTTAAATAATTACTTTTTAAAAATCGGATTCATTCATATCACAGTTCCAACCATCAGAAAATGTTTTGTCTTTATTCTTAATTGGCTTTTATTATGTTATATAGAAATCTTAGGTTACATATATAATGCAGTATAAATATATAATTTTGTTAACACTTTTGTTAGCTATGTGCCCATAAAATAATGAGAAAAAGTTGTTTCTGTGTAACTGTTTATCTACAAATTGCATTTATATTCATTATCAAGTATTTTCAAATGAAAATCACTGCTTTTGTTGATCATACACATAATACATGCTCATTTAAAAAAATGTACAAAATGCAGTCATTTATAAAGAAGTAAATTCCCACAGTTCAGAGATAACCATTATTAGTGTTTTCAATGCATACATATACTTCCATACCTTTTCTCCTATGTATACACACACTATTTAACAAACAAAAAATAACATACTATATGTATTGTGTTTTGTTAAATTTTAAACTAAAACAATCTTTTTATGTCAATAAATATTGATCTGTATCATAATTTGAGTGACTGCACAGTATTCCATTGTGTGGATGTACTATAGATTATCTAAGTAACACATTATTGAATAAGATTTATATGTTTTTCAATGTATTCTACATCTGTAAACAATGTTGTGATTAACTTCCTTCCTTAAAACAGTGTGCATTATACGAGCTTGAGGAAAAGTATCTATAGCATATAAAAGCTTAAGTCTGGTAGAGAAATTAAAATGCACATTATATTGATATATGTATCAGAATTTTGGACAAAACATTCAAGATATATCCTTTACTTAAATTGACAAAAGTAAAACTAAAACCAATGGGATATAATTTTTCATATTTTCTGAGCCTACTTGCCCAATGGTATAAACATTGTGATCATGAAAATACATGAAAACAATGCAAACAATTGTTTAATTATTTATTTATTTAAAAAATTACTTTAGTAATTATTTAAGTAATTAAGTAAAATAATTACTTTAGAAATTATTTACCATATGTACTCTCTACACCTTTTCACCCATTACCAGTTTTCATTTAAATTTATAAACTAAGTATTAGTGTTAACTTAAAACTTTGACACATGCTTTGATTCAGTATAAATCACAAAAGATTTCTAGTAGGTAAAAATCTTCAAGTATAACCATTTAATACATTTTGGGAAATTGTTCAAGTATTTGATTATTATTTTCAAGAAGTCAGCCTGTATAAATAAAGGACTAATTAAAGTATGTCCAAGGGCAGATAAAACATACATGTTAGGACATTGCAAAATAGACAAAAACTCTGAGTTTAGTTGGTAAAAAGATAAAGGAAAGATAATCTCTATTTGAACACAAACACCTGGGTAGTATTCCAATCTTGTACTTTTCATTTTTAACAACATTTAATAGACTAATAATTAAGGCTTCAAATTGGGAGCAAAACAACTGGACAGCTTATATTGGTGAAAAGACATTAAAAACATTTCCTAGCACAAGATAATTAGTAAAAATTAGTAGAACAGTACTATCAATTGTCATGGTAAACTCAAGGATAGACTGTTAAACACAAGTTTTGTTTTTCTTCCTTTTTTTAAAAAAATATTTATTTTTTTTTTAGCTTTTCAAAAAAGTCACTGTACAAACTTCAGATGTACCCAGGGAGAAGAAAATTGCCTTGTGGGGTGCCTGGATGGCCCAGTAGGTTGAGTATCCAGTTCTTGGTTTCAGCTCAGGTCATGATCTCTGGATCCTGAGACAGAGCCCTGTGTTGGGCTCTGTGCTCAGTGGGGAGTCCCCTTAAATTTCTCTCTCCCTCTCCTTCTGCCCCTCCCTTCTGCTCTCTCTCTCTCTCTCTCTGTAAAATAAATGAATCTTAAAAAAATGAATGTTGCTTTATTAAAGATTATTTTGGTGAGACTTTTCTGTAAAGAAAATTTCTTACATATAGTGGTGCCTTTCTGGTTGTATCTATGGTTAAAGGAAAAAATAAAATGTTATATGTGTAAGATATTTCAGCACAGGGAAAAATAACTAAGATTATTGTGTATTTAAGGGAATGTTTAGGAATGGTGTGAATACCATCTTATCTATAAATGGCCTAATTTAAGGGAATAGTTAGAAGTGTATCAATAAATAACTGAATATAGATGATATATGTGTATGATATATATGTGTATGAATATAGAAGATATATGCACCTACACTAATACCCAGAATTGAGTTAGCATTCCATGATTACTTGTTGAATTACCCTCCATTTGTTTGCTTTTCAATTCCCTTCTCAGAATTTCACAAATGAAATGAATTACAGAATAAGCCATTTTTATTAAATTTTATCCCATGAAGAAATAATTGAGAACTGATTTACATAGATTGTTGCTTCTGAAGTTGTGTTACTAGTGACATAAAATAGTCATTATACCATTAAGGTGTTGTCAATACTTTTATACTCCTCATGCTTTCTTTTTTGTTATTGTTCAACAATTGATGAGATTCTAATAGTTGGCATGACTCAAATGAAAGTCTATTTGTATAGAAACATTTTTTTTAAATAAGTTAATGGGATATTCCTCCAAGACCAAAACTATTCCACAGAGGGCCCTGCTCCTACATTAAATCAAATGGGATCACAATAATCCCTGAAAGACTAATGCTTATGCATGTGAAATTGTTTCTTACATATTTTAGGGTGTTACTTCCCATGAAGTATGACTTAGCAAATGGTCTCTTGGAGACTCAAGAGAGTTAATGTATCCTACTTGGCTCCAAAGGATCATGGTTAGTAGTTAGATAATCTAGCTACCATTGGAAATCTGAGACTTTACTCAATGTACAAATATTGAGGATATAATTACTATAAAACTAAAAATAAATAAATAAATAAATAAATAAACAAACAAACAAACTCCATGTACTTTCACCCTCTAAAGTCAAAGTCAATTTTAAAAGATTTCTCATTTGGCAACCAAAAATGATCAGTGTTCTCATTAAATTTTTCAACAAAAGTTTGGAGCCTTTGTATTTTATTTAACTAAGAAAATATTTAGTACTTTGGAGAGACTTGCAGGAAAAGGGGTGAATGATGATATATGCTATGACCATCTCAGTTATCAGAGTAAATTAGTTTCTTTGTTTTAAAACTAGTAAGGGAAATACCAGATGTTGGCATATTTTGCATAAAAAATAAATCTTCCATACTGTAGAATAAATAATTATACAAGTTTTGAGATTGATTTGAAACTTCCAAAAACAGGGGTCCTGCATGGCTCAGTCATTAAGCATCTGCTTTCAGCTCAAATCATAATCCCAGTGTCTTGGGATCAAGCCCTGCGTCCAGCTCCCTACTCAGCGGGAAACCTGTTTCTCCCTCTCCCACTTCTTCTGCTTGTATTCCCTCTCTCACTTGCTCTCTCTGTCAAATAAGTAAATAAAATCTTAAAAAAAAAAAACTTCCAAAAAAGTAAATTATACTTTTGGGAAATCAAGGACTTTTAAAATCAATATTTAGGAACACTTAAAAAGTAATTTTAAGCAAATTTACACAGGATGACAACTCCTTTTTTTAAAGCAAAGTTGACATACTAATTATATTAGTTTCAGGTACACAACATATTGATTCAACATTTCTATACGTTACTCAGTGCTCACCATGGTAAGTTATACCATCTGTCACTGAACAATGTTATTAGAATATTACCCACTTCATTCCCTATGGTTTACTCTTCATCTCCAGGACTTACTTTATAAATGGAAGGTTGTACTTTTTAATCTCCTTGATCTGTTTTACCTATCTCCCTTCTGGCAAGCACCAGTTTGTTCTCTGTATTTAACAATCTATTTATTTTTTTAATTTAATTTAATTTTTTCAGTGTTCCAAGATTCATTGTTTATGCACCACACCCAGTGCTCCATGCAATATGTGCCCTCCTTAATACCCACCACCAGAGTGCCTGGGTGGCTCAGTGGGTTAAAGCCTCTGCTCAGGTCATGATCCCAGGGTGCTGGGATCGAGCCCCGCGTCAGGCTCTCTGCTCAGTGGGGAGTCTACTTCCCTTCCTCTCTCTCTGCCTACCTCTCTGCCTACTTGTCACCTCTCTTTTCCAAATAAATAAATAAAATCTTTAAAAAAAATACCCACCACCAGACTCACCCATCGCCCCACTCCCCTCCCCTCTAAAACCCTCAGTTTGTTTCTCAGAGTCCACAGTCTCTCATAGTTCATCTCCCCCTCCAAATCCCCCCAATTCACTTCTCTTTTCCCTCTCCTAATGTCTTCCATGTTATTCCTTATGCTCCTTTATCCATTCATCTTATTTGTTTATTC